ATGGAGACTAGTGTATCCTTGTCTGGTGTAGTGCTCCACCATGGAAGCTAGTGTATCCTTGTCTACTGTAGTGCTCCACCATGGAGACTAGTGTATCCTTGTCTGGTGTAGTGCTCCACCATGGAGACTAGTGTATCCTTGTCTGGTGTAGTGCTCCACCATGGAAGCTAGTGTATCCTTGTCTGGTGTAGTGCTCCACCATGGAGACTAGTGTATCCTTGTCTGGTGTAGTGCTCCACCATGGAGGCTAGTGTATCCTTGTCTGGTGTAGTGCTCCACCATGGAGACTAGTGTATCCTTGTCTGGTGTAGTGCTCCACCATGGAGACTAGTGTATCCTTGTCTACTGTAGTGCTCCACCATGGAGGCTAGTGTATCCTTGTCTACTGTAGTGCTCCACCATGGAGGCTAGTGTATCCTTGTCTGGTGTAGTGCTCCACCATGGGTATACCGAGATTATTTCCTTCATAAATTCTCATATTATTCACAATTTTCACAGCGATTTTACTCGATATCAATTTTAAAATGTAATTTATATTTAAATTTTGTTGTTGCGTTACCAGGGCAAGGTATTATGAGGGTTTTTCTTATGCAGATTGTTGAGACGAGTGAGTGCGGCTTGTTATCATGATGATAAAGACTTGACCACCTTGCTTGCCCTCCCAGTCAAAGCTTTTATCTTGTATCTCCCATAAAACCTGTTCTTCGTTAATTCCATACCAAAATGAAAGGAAACTTGAAATTGTATTGTGTCTTTCTTCTCCTCCTTCCTTCTTGTTGATGATAGAAGGTCCAGGACAGGTATGACAGTATCGTGGGTATCACTCTTCAACAAGGGAGTGACGGTGGTGGTGTTATATTTGTCAGGAAACTCTCCTGACGTGGGCATTTGTCAGAAGATGATCCTCTTAGTCATTAGCTGAATCTTTGTACTGGTAGTGTATATATGTTGTTAAGCATCTGCTGGTTTACAGGTGTTGTGTACCAGTGGATAATTAAAAATTGCAGGCACATTGAAACTGGGCTGTCCAACCCATTTAAAAACCAAAGGGTCACCTTTTCGTGTATTAAATACGCAGATATACACTTCTCAGTGTATATACACTGATTTCATTAACATTGATACCGATTCCTTGCTAATACTTGACATCATACGCTGTGTGACCTCTTACTTATAAGGAGCGTCTTGGTCATCATCTCCCAGCATATCAAACTCGTTTTTATTGCCATGACCATTAATAACTATGTGAGTGATGACGTCAGTGTCTAAGATATGTCAGTGATCATAATAGTAAGTATAAGTCTGGCTTATCATGAGTTAAAACCCAGCTGGCATTTTCGAAGATGATCGCTTATCATTACGAATGTTTGTATTATGATATATGTTTAAACATATGCTGGATTTACAGTTAGTTGTGTACCATTGGATAATTAAAATGCAGGCACATTGAATGGGACTGTCATCCCATTAAAAACCAAAGGTCACCTTTTGCGTGTTGTAAATACGGATATCACTTCTTCAGTGTATATAACACTGATTTCATTACAGTTGATACGATCCTTGTCTAATACTTACATCATACTGTGTGACCTCTTACTTATAGGAGCGCATGTCATAAGTCCCATGCAATGCAAACTCGATTTTTATTGCCAGGTTCCTTAATTAACTATGTGATTGATGACTACAGTTCTAGATATGTCGTGAATTTCTAATAGTAAGTATAATTGGCTATCATGAGTAAAACACCAGCCTAGTTCTGGCTACTTACATGGTGAATTATGATTATGCATCATTGACACATGTGTGATGTCCGTTAGTGTTAAATAGCATACTACATACATGTACTAGTCCTTGAACGCTAAAGTACAAATGCATGGTGTGATCAACTAGTCGTTAATATACATAATAGTCGAGTGATCATGTACACAACTACAATACATGTGTTCTGGTAACACTAGTGCATTATAAGTCCAATGTAACAAGCAACAGTCTTGATGTACTGCGAGGTTCTCTTAATTATTACTATTAATTTACGTGACTAAGTTTCTTCTCGTGAATTTCTGGGAAAAATTGCATCAACTGGACCACGTAACAAGACACAGCCTAGTGTGTGTCAACCTACGTCAACTAGTCCATGCAGCAAGACACAGCCTAGTGTGTATCAACCTACGTCAACTAGTCCATGCAACAAGACACAGCCTAGTGTGTCAACCTACGTCAACTAGTCCATGCAACAACACAGCCTAGTGTGTGTCAACCTACGCCAACTAAACCATGCAACAAGACACAGCCTAGTGTGTATCAACCTACGTCAACTAGTCCATGCAACAACACACAGCCTAGTGTGTGTCAACCTACGTCAACTAGTCCATGCAACAACACACAGCCTAGTATCAACCTACGTCAACTAGTCCATGCAACAACACACAGCCTAGTGTGTGTAACCTACGTCAACTAGATCATGCAACAACACAGCCTAGTGTGTGTCAACCTGCGTCAACTAATCCATGCAACAAGACTCAGCCTAGTGTGTGTAACCTACGTCAACTAGATCATGCAACAACACAGCCTAGTGTGTGTCAACCTACGTCAACTAGATCATGCAACAACACAGCCTAGTGTGTGTCAACCTACGTCAACTAGATCATGCAACAACACAGCCTAGTGTGTGTCAACCTACGTCAACTAGATCATGCAACAACACAGCCTAGTGTGTGTCAACCTACGTCAACTAGATCATGCAACAACACAGCCTAGTGTGTGTCAAGTGTGATAACTTTATATAGGAAGGATCAGGGTCGCTCAGTGATAACAACTGCGTCGTGCACTTCATTAAGCTCTATACAAATTTATTATTAATGTATTTATAAATTGTTGAAAGTTTTTAATAATTACATAAAGAAGATTGTGACAGTAGAGCTGTATGGTCCACACGGGTTTAGCGCTGTTGTTTAAATGTAATAGTTGAGTATCTTAGAGATGGTTAGTTAGACTTAGTGATTACACGAGTGTATTCACCTAGTTGAGATTGTAGGGGTCGAGTCCTAGCTCCTGGCCTCCTGGTCATTAAGGTTCCATGTAAATTATTCACCAACAATAAAAGAAAGTTTAAACTAAAACTGGGATTAAAATAAATTCAGAGAGTATATACACTGACAGACATACACCTTAAGATGTATATATCCAGAGTAGTTACAGTATCATTAATCATTTCGTATTGCTATCAACAACAAAGTTCACATAACATACACCACTGCTATGTTAAGTTTAATTAAGTTAGGGCTGCATTACAACAAACTTCACATAACTCAGACGATCAGGTTAAGCAGATATGACACAGCATCAAACCGCCATTTATGAGACAAAACACAATTAAATATGTTGAAATTATTAATTTTAGCTCAATAAACTGAAATGCAAAAATAAGCCCTATGTTTTCTTTATAACAATGAAGAATTAGATTATATATATCATGAGAATAAAGTAAGCTACTGATGAGCATGACTTTCCTTGATGCTGGTGAGGGGGTTCTTGATCCAAGGAATTGGACATGACTTCCCTGAAAACGAACGCGATTGCTTTCCATTTCCCCAAGGCGCTGCATGACTCCCACGGCTTTAGCGCTCCCCCATGAATGTAAGACTGCCAAAAGCATGACGTAAGCCATCTCAGTAGAGACATGACTGTTTTAGTGCTCATCTTTATGTGTGTTTGTTGTGTGATAGTGTGTGTGTGTGTATTGAATCTTGTGTGTTTGTCATGTGATAGTGTGTGTAGAAGTCATAATGTAGTGGATGGAACAATTAACCATTAACACACAATTACGAGAGGAGAGTAGATGATGTTTGGGTCTATATTCGACTGCTATCTCCGGGTTGTGTATTTATTGCTAATAGTTTATGTTGAACCAGCAGTAGAGTGGTTACTGTGTATGTTGAACCAGCAGTAGAGTGGTTACTGTGTATGTTGAACCAACAGTAGAGTAGTTACTGACTGTGTATGTTGAACCAGCAGTAGAGTGATTACTGACTGTGTATGTTGAACCAGCAGTAGAGTGGTTACTGTGTATGTTGAACCAGCAGTAGAGTGGTTACTGTGTATGTTGAACCAGCAGTAGAGTGGTTACTGTGTATGTTGAACCAGCAGTAGAGTAGTTACTGACTGTGTATGCTGAACCAGCAGTAGAGTGATTACTGACTGTGTATGTTGAACCAGCAGTAGAGTGGTTACTGACTGTGTATGTTGAACCAGCAGTAGTGTGGTCACTGACTGTGTATGTTGAACCAGCAGTAGAGTGATTACTGACTGTGTATGTTGAACCAGCAGTAGAGTGGTCACTGACTGTGTATGTTGAACCAGCAGTAGTGTGGTTGCTGTGTATGTTGAACCAGCAGTAGACTAGTTACCGAGATGGTTTGCTCACATGAAATAGAGACGCACGATACAATAATTAAGGTACTTACATAATTTCGGGGTGTATGGAAGGTGGTAACAAGTATGTCCCAGGAAGGTTAATTAACGTTGTGCATTATTCCCGAGGCCAGTAATGTTTAGTACTCCTAACTCGTTTTAACACTGCTGAGGTGTTCCTAAACCACGGTGACATCACACAGCTATGTGTAAGGAACACCTTTATTGGAAAATATTCCCCTTCTCTCCTACATACACTAACCTGAACCTTATCTCATGAAACTCAACTACTTACAACCTAATCATATCCACCCTACCCTATTTTTTTTTTCCAAATCTATAAACATTCCTTAAATTAGATTGTATAAGGGTAATTGAAATCTTTTGTATTGTGACCCATACGGAAATCACGCTTCACATAAAGAATATACTGCATAAATTAAATATTTGTACAGTTATGGAAGATTGGCAGTGTGTTGGTGCTGCACATAGCTGACTGCCTCTGCCCTCAGTAAGATGCTTATTGACCTTATCATGCAAATTGTAAGGACGTTGTACGCCGAGACTGTTATTGCAAGTTTATCTTTCAGAATGTGTACAGTGAAATTATCACACTCAAGAACAGGGAAAAGAAAAAACAGGCTGGAACCTCCCAGGAGGTCAAGTTCCTGGATGTAGTGTTGAGCTGCCAAGGTTTAGAGAGTTATGTAAGTTTATTCAGGTACAGGTACACATAAATAGTTACATAAATTATCATATATAGTATATGTAGATTACCTAGGATAACCCAAAATGTCAAAGTGACTTATTTCCATTGGGGTAGTTGAGCACTTACTGTGACTTACTGTGACTCAGGTGTGCCTCACTGTTTTACCCTGAGAGATATACTTTGCTTTTATTTAATATTATAATCATATTCACGGTGAAAGGTTAAACCTGTAGGGGTCATAGAGCTCCTGGGCAATGGAAGGGTAATAATCCTTCACCGTTATCAAACTACACTTAACTCATGAAAGTTTTTTTATAGAGGATGAAATTATGATAGCCAGGCAAGCCACATGCTCCCAGGATATAAATTACACCAGACACACCTAAGTCGTAACATATGTTGACTATTTTGAGTCTCACAAACAAAGGATTCTTAATGGAAGTCTACTTAGTGTCGTTTACGTTAAAAAAAAAACATAGGTTAAACGTAGAAAAGTTTCTCTATAAGTGGACCCCCGCCTTACGATCAGCTCCCAACTAGAACAATTATGTAAGTGTATTTTTGTAAGTGCTTTTGTACGTATATTTTTGGAGGTCTGAAACGGACTAATCTAATTTACAGTATTCCTTATGGGAACAAATTCGTTCGGTAACGGCACCCGAACAGACTTCTGGGATGAATTAATATCGTAAGTCGGGGGTCCACTGAACCGGACATCGAGAGATGTGTATTTCTCAGTATATACTCCGAGAGATGTATATCTCGTTTTGTGTATAAGGTGAGTATTTATTATAATTCCTATCATAGGGAGTAAAATATATTTGATGTAAATATCTAGGACAGTATCGTCAGTGACACTTGACTGTTGACTGGGAATATAACCTAACAACTACACGAGGGTCATTAAAGCTGCAAGTCACCTGTACACTACCAAAGTACACTTGTATCCCTTAAATAAAAATAAAACTATTAGCATATGCACACTGAGAGATACACGTTCTGTGCATATAACATTGTAATTACTCTTGCCTAGTCGACAAGCAATAAACCTATCAGACTAATTTCACTCAGGGTTTACTGTCCCCTCAAGGGAGGTTCCTTAACGCTGGTGAGGGGTTCTTGATCTATGGGCCCCTCAAGGGAGGTTCCTTGATGCTAGTGAGGGGCTCTTGATATAGGGAATTGGATCTGTGCTCCAGTCCCCTGAATACCTTCCATCCCCCCAGACGCTGCATAATCCTACGGGTTTAGCGCCCCCTCATGATTTCAATAATAATAATCTGGGATTGCTGTTAATTTTGTAGTTTTGTTAACCTTTGAATTTTAACAGCAACATCACTAATAACACAGTGAGGTTAGAACAATTAGATGACAAATTAACAGAAATGGGGTGTTTGTATACATACAATAATTTTTGTAGCTGGTAATTAGAGATTCTCCAGGAAAGAAGAATATTATTCTATCAGTGAGAATAAATGGCTCATTAAACTGTCCAAACGTAGATCTACGTTTGTGCGCGCAGTGCTCCGACCTTGATTTTCTCCATAAGAAACAATGTAAAAAAAAACGTAGATCTACGTTCGGAGCGCTACGCGAACAAACGTAAATCTACATTTGGACAGTTTAAGGGTTAATACACTTATTTATCTGAGAAATTCTGTAGTGAAGTCACACATTTGTGTCCCCCACCCGGGGTAAGACAACACATTGTGTCCCCCACCTGGGGTAAGACAACACATTGTGTCCCCCACCCGGGGTAAGACACATTGTGTCCCCACCCGGGATAAGACAACACATTGTCCCCTACCTGGGGTAAGACACATTGTGTCCCCCACCTGGGGTAAGACAACACATTGTGTCCCCACCCAGGGTAAGACAACACATTGTCCCCTACCTGGGGTAAGACACATTGTGTCCCCCACCTGCGGTAAGACAACACATTGTGTCCCCCACCTGGGGTAAGACAACACATTGTCCCCTACCTGGGGTAAGACACATTGTGTCCCCCACCTGCGGTAAGACAACACATTGTGTCCCCCACCTGGGGTAAGACAACACATTGGTCCCACCCAGGGTAAGACAACACATTGTCCCCTACCTGGGGTAAGACACATTGTGTCCCCAACTGCGGTAAGACAACACATTGTGTCCCCCACCTGGGTAAGACAACACATTGTGTCCCCCACCTGGGGTAAGACAACACATTGTCCCCTACCTGGGGTAAGACAACACATTGTGTCCCCCACCTGGGGTTAAGACAACACATTGTGTCCCCACCTGGGGTAAGACAACACATTGTCCCCTACCTGGGGTAAGACACATTGTGTCCCCCACCTGGGGTAAGACAACACATTGTGTCCCCCACCTGGGGTAAGACAACACATTGTGTCCCCACCCAGGGTAAGACAACACATTGTCCCCTACCTGGGGTAAGACACATTGTGTCCCCCACCTGGGGTAAGACAACACATTGTCCCCTACCTGGGGTAAGACACATTGTGTCCCCCACCTGGGGTAAGACAACACATTGTGTCCCCACCCAGGGTAAGACAACACATTGTCCCCTACCTGGGGTAAGACACATTGTGTCCCCCACCTGGGGTAAGACAACACATTGTGTCCCCCACCCAGGGTAAGACAACACATTGTGTCCCCACCCGGGGTAAGACAACGCATTGTGTCCCCCACCTGGGGTAAGACAACACATTATGTCCCCCACCCGGGGTAAGACAACACATTGTCCCCTACCTGGGGTAAGACACATTGTGTCCCCCACCTGGGGTAAGACAACACATTATGTCCCCCACCCGGGGTAAGACAACACATTGTCCCCTACCTGGGGTAAGACACATTGTGTCCCCCACCTGGGGTAAGACAACACATTGTGTCCCCCACCTGGGATAAGACAACACATTGTGTCCCCCACCCGGGGTAAGACAACGCACTGTGTCCCCCACCCGTGGTAAAACAGCACATTTCGCTGTGTCGAAGATATGGGATCAAGTCTATAATAAAGTTGAAAAAATGTAAATATGTCTGTTGACATGAACCATAAAAGTAGAATGACACTAATCTGAAGGTTTCTCTGGGACCAGTAATATGACACTGGCCTTGTTGTCTATTGACTGATGCAAGTGATAGTTATATTGTGACTGTTTTAGATGGTAGGATTCTATGTCGGTGATGCAGATTATAGCACTGTTCGTCGCCAGAGTCTGTGTGATTTTAAAAGTTGAATTTGTATGCGAGGACCAAGACCACACATTGCCTCTCACCATATTAATACCACAAAAGTCCTCCACACAACATTAATACATTACCACTACACATTACCTTCACACAACATTAATACATCACCACCACACAACACTAACATCAAACATCACATAACATTAACATCACACATTGCACAAAATTAATACCATACATCACACAACATTAACACCATACATCACACAAAATTAACACCACACATCACACAACATTAAGACCATACATCACACAACATTAACACCATACATCACACAACATTAACACCATACATCACATAAAATTATCACACATCACACAACATTAAACTATACATCACACAAAATTTACACCACACATCACACAACATTAACACCATACATCACACAACATTAACACCATACATCACACAACATTAACACACACATCACACAACATTAAGACCATACATCACACAACATTAACACCAACATCACACAACATTAACGCATACATCACACAAAATTAACACCTACATCACACAACATTAACACCATACATAAACAACATTAACACACATAACATTAACATCACACATCACACAACATTAACATCACACATCACACAACATAAACATCACACATCACACAGCATTAGCACACGCATCACAAATTACATACACATCACATAACATTAACATCAACATCACACAACATTAAACATCACACATCACACTCACACAACATTTAACACCACATCACACAACTTTCAACACACACAAATTAAAATCACACATCACACAACATTAAATCACACATACATCACACAACATTAACATCACACATCACATAAACATTACACCACATCATCACAACATAACAACCCCATCATCACACAACATTAAACATCAAACATCACACAACATTTAACACCACACATCAACAACATAAACCATCAACATCACACATCACACAACATTAACACCATACATCACACAACATTAACACACACATCACACAACATTAACACCACACATCACACAACATAACATCAACCACACAACATTAACACCACACATCACACAACATTAACCCATACATCAACACAAAATTCACCACACAACATAACACCACACATCACACACAACATTAACACCATACATCAACACAACATTAACATCACACATCAACATAAACATCACACTACACACAACATTAACATCACACATCAACACCACACATAAACTCACACAACATTAACACAGCATCACCACCACCATCAACACAACATAACATACACACATCACAAACATTAACACCACACATCACACAACATTAACACACATCACACACACATACACCACACATCACACACAACATTAACACCAACATCTCACACAACATTAACATCCACACAACATAACACCAACATAACATCACATCATCACAAAACAACATTAACATCACACATCACCACAAACATTAACATCACACATCACAAACATCACACAACATTCACACCACACATCCACACACATTAACATCACACATCACACAACATTAACATCACACATCACACAACATTAACATCACACATCACACAACATTAACATCACACATCACACAACATTTAACATCAACACAAATTAACAACACACATCACCAAAACCAACATCAACACCACACATCACCACACAACATTAACACCATACATCACCACACAACATTAACACCATACATCACCACACAACATTAACACCATACATCACCACACAACATCAACACCACACATCACCACACATCATTAACATCAAACATGACCTTCAAAGCACGGTAACACCATACATCACCACACAACATCACCATACATCACCACACAACACATTATATTGCTGACATCAACCCATCATCTTATACTTCCACGGCCAAGCGCCTTAGGGTGATATACATATATTTTTGTTAGGTTATTATTCATATATTATAGTCACTCCTTGTGTTTATTTTACGAGTGGCAGCTGGAGTAGGCAAGGCCATGTATGTCTTGTGATGGACAACCTTGTGTCTAACATTATTCAGTGTAAATTATGGCCATTTCTAGTTTATGTTCCATGATAACCTTATTCACCATTCTATAATATATCATTCCATATTTAATTCAGCTTGAACATACTCCATGGCCTAGTACAGGCTATAGTCGACATAGTACTAGCAGGTTCCGAACCCCTTGGTGCTTGTTTCATGTTGAAAGTGCCAAGTGATCCCACATATGTGTGTTCTAGGTGTGTTTAGGTTGTCTGTACACCTTGTGTTGCAGGTTACTTAATTGTGTTGTCAGACTGCAAGACATTCTGTCTGGAGTAATTAATTTGAAAAAGTAACACTAATTAATTACTAATTACCTACACACTGTAATGGAATTCAGAAATCCATCCCGTTTATTTATCACTATATTATTCTAAGCTAGTGATTAACTTGAACCAATTGTTGGGTACAATTATTACGGTGGGAGCTGGAAGTACTGTGTTACATTACTTATCTGTGTTTAATGGAAGTATCGTGTAAATTTAAAACATCAATTTGTAAAAGCATCTGTAACTCTAACATGAAAAAAGCTGCCTTAATTTTATGCAAGTAGTGTTACGTATAGCTTGTTATTTCCAAATTTAGTTTAACAGTCAATTATTATGCATGAATTAACTAATAGACCCCTGACTGTCTTCAAGAAGGCGCTGGACAGACACCTAAGGTCAGTAACTGACCAGCCGAGCTGTGGTTCATACGTTGGTTTACGTGCGGCCAGCAGTAACAGCCTGGTTGATCATGTCCTGATCCACTGAGAGGCCTGGTCACAGACCGGGCCCCGGGGGCGTTGACCCCCGAAACCATATACACAACAACAGTAATCTGATTCTTTGCGTCTTATAAATATGTCTGACTCTCAAGTATGTCTTTACTCTTTACCTTAGCATGAAGATAGACATAAACTCGGAGATTTTCAAATTCATATTTTTGGTCCCATTAAATAAGCTAATTTAAGGTGGACACGCCCTACTTTATATGCAGGAAGAGCATTAGAACAAATGCTACATGTGTGTATACAAAAATATAATAGTTTTAGATTGATGACGACAGTTAAGTGGTAGAAAGCAGGTATTGTTAGTTACATGTTAGAAGACGTAGGAGAGGCTTCTGCCAGCCTAGATAAACATAAATTACTGATACTCAGCCACTTGAAAAAAATTAATAACTTTTTTTAATCTTGTCAAAAATTATTATTATTATTATTATTATTATTATTATTATTATTATTATTATTATTATTATTGTGGGGAATAATTTTCCAAAAATTATGCTGTGTAAATAAACCTGATTAATTCATTACTATTGTCCTAAAGTGTATTTTTAAAAGAAGAGAATGGAGAGGGAAGCTCTGCGCTGAGGAGCAGGGACAGATGCCATTGTTTTTTGAATGTGATACAAGCACGTTAATGTAATGTGCATAATTTTCGTCGCTCTAGGGGTTATGTTGGGCTTAAAACCTCTCAAATAGGAGCCGAAATTGTTGGATGTGCATTCCTGCATAACTTGAGCATTAAGCAGATGTACAGGACAGATCCAGGAACCTCAGATAAGCTATCTAAATTATGTTTGTAATTCTGGCCAGTATTATCCTCATAAATTTAGTTAGAGGGGGGTTTTTGAGTATTATACACAGTAATCTCCAGACTAATTGGTGAGTGTTATGATTATAAATTCTCCTTCTGTTATATAAATGTCTATATGTAATCATTTATTAATTTTAATATACAGCCCACAAATTTATATTAAATTTTACCAGAATTCCTGGTGATGTACATTTCATTTGATATTAATATAGATCTAGAGCAACTTGTGGAGAGATAGATTATGGTAGGTATGGAAGGGGACATTTTCTGCGACCTAGGTGTCCTAAAAATTTCTACTTGTCTCTGTAACTTTGATAAATAATAATTATCTTTGTTACCATTTACTTGTATGTATCTAATGAGATACATCCAGGTAAATGTAATTTTCCACAATGATTATTATTGGAAAGTGCTAAACTCGTATAGTCTACCTGGAGGTGGTTCTGGGGATCAGCGCTCCCGTGGCCAGGCTTCCCAGTCCATCAGGGCCTGATGGACTGGGAAGCCATCAGGCCAGTCCATCAGGGCTGTTATTGTTGGTCGAATGCAGTCCAACTTACGAACCACAACCCGGCTGATCTAGCACTGACTTCGGGTATCTGTCCAGTTCCATCTTGACAATCAAGGGTTTAATGGTAATCCACCTTATGTGTGATGGGAGGATGATGAACAGTCTTGGGCCCCGGACACTTATTTCACATGGAGTGATTTCTGTGTGCAGATTTGGGAACAGTCCCTGTAGAATTTTCCAGGTGTAGATTATCATGTATCTTTCTCGCTTGCATTCCAGGGAGTACGTACAGGTCCGGGGACTTCAAACGTCCCCAAATGAAAATGGTCATAATCATAACCATAATTTTTAAAGGAGTGGACCGGTAAGCCAGCGGAAGGCCTTTGTCAGATGACCAAAAGCTCCAGCTGCGGGTCATCATACGACTAAAACCCGCATCAGGAAACATTTATCCTGTTACCAGACAAACCTTATCTAAACGTCCCCAGTAATTAACATGCTAGACTGAACTAATACGTCCAGTGAAGGTTTTCTGTACATTCTATAGATCTGCAGTTTCGCCTGCCCTGAATGGTGTTGTTAGAGTACAGTAATATTTCAACCTAGAGAGGATCATCATTGGCTTGGTATTTCCTCACGGATGTTATGACATTGTTGTGCTCCTTCAGGGTGAGATCCTCTGAGATTATTACTCCCAATTCCTTCACACTGGTTTTTCGCTCTGTTGTGTGGTTAGAATTTGTTGTATAACCCGTTCTAGCTATTATTTCCTCAAGTCCCCTGTAACGGAATATCAGAAATTTGCTCTTACTGGACGTATATTGCTTTTCACAGCACACGGGATATATTAAAAGCTCTTCACCGACTTCAAGGCGCCACCCAAAGGACAAAACAAGTATGAGAACTCCTACATAACCAGATAATTTTGGTGGAAATCAACATATGGATCGCTTCCTCATACTACTGACAAATCGTCACATGTCTTTGGTCTTGTGCAAAAATGTAGTATGATCACGTATAGTGTTTTTAATTAACACTGCTACTGGCGCAACCTATTACTGTATTTTAAGAGAGGGAGGTGCCTTGATGCCGCTGGAGGGCTCTTGATCTCACGAAGTGTACCTATGTTCTCCTTTTTTGGCCCCCTCAGGGAAGGTTCCTTGATATTGGTAAGGGGCTTTTGATATAGGGAATTGGATCTGTGCTCCAGTTCCCCGAATTAAGCCTGAATGCCTTCCACACATCCCCCCCCAGGCGCTGTATAATCCTACGGGTTAAGCGCTTCCCCCTTGATTATAACAATAATAATAAAAATCCTTCCTTGGCTCGAAATTTGATTGCCTCTCATTCCGCATGCGCTGTATGACCCTTACATGTTTAGCGCTTCCCCTGGCTATGATAATAACATGCCTTAAGCGTTACCAATACTCCCGTATCCTAGTACTTCCACCACCCCGAGAATTATTTTGTTATTTAGGGCTACCGTGACGATGGTCCTTATATTACCATAATTACATTTTATCTTCTTGATAATACAGGCAGCATTAGGTAGATGTGGCACTATCAATGCTTCATCAGCAGTGTCTTGACTTGGCCTGACCTCCCTGCTATACTGGTCAGTGTTTTGATTCTAAATTTTGAAAAAAACAAAAACAAATAGGATATGTTATATTCTTTACCCCCGAGACTGATATCAGTGAGTTGTATTGTGAGGTTCGAGTTTCAGCTCCTGGCCCAAGTTCTTTACCTTAAGTCGACTGGAATATTTAATTCTTAGCCTTTTGGGTCTTATCAACTGTTGAAACAAGTGGTTTGTTGAATATAATAATGGTATATAATACCGACGGGTTGATAAGACACTAGGGTATCTTCATTAAGAAACGTTTCGTTTACACAGTAGGCGTCTTCAGTTAAATATAGAGGAGGCAGTAGAAGCAGTAGAGATGTAAAGACAAGTAATAAGTCCATCATCATCACTGACGACGTAGTTTTGAGGTGGTCAGTCCCTCAGCCTACTATGTAGGCGGCACGTTTCGGAATAAAGACATTTAACTGTTGCACTTGTGTCTTACTTATCAAGTGTTTTTTTCACGTAAGTCTATAATATGTCACCAGTGTATACCTATAATAATGTACTTAATGCAAGCACTGTTGAAATTTAAAATATAAATTTGCAGATTTAACAAGTTTTCGTTTCATTTAGGTCACACTAAAGAAAATTTGCGAACATTCCTGTAGCTCAGCTTAGTGTTGGCCTTCCATCTATGCTGTCTTGTTCTGGTCCGTCCAGAACGACAGCTTCTCTATGCTTTTAAGTATCTTGTAAGACGTGATGATATTATTTTCTTGCCTCTGTCCTCTTCCGGTGACTTGAGATTTATATAATCTATATAACTCATTCCCTCAAGCATATACACAAGCTTGTGTATACGTGTATTGCTGTCCATAAGCTCAGTATGGCAAGCCACTGTTGTTTTTAGCATAACTTATTCTTATATAAATATAGATACGAAATGTGTTTCTCCTTTTAGGGGTTCAATGTTTAAAGTTATTTGCATGGTGTAAGTTTAGTTGGTTAACTTTATCACGTATGTCTGGTGCACTTATGAAGATGTTTGTTTAATGTGTCAACAGTAATGTAAACATTTCTGAAGGTTGACTTCATTATACTGTATTTTGTAAAGGAAGTATCAGAAAGTATAGTGGTATAGTGATGCTCAATAATCAGTATCAGTCAGCATCTTTTCATAAGAAGAGGAGGACGAGTGGAATAAGGGAGAGGGTAAAGATGGGAGGAAGATGATGGCATGTATATAACGTCAGTGGTTGAGCGAGGCAGCAACACCCATGAGGGTAGTCAGTGTGAGCAGAGCGGGCACAGTGTAAGGGGTGTACTGCCTTTATCCCCTGCCATCCCTGCTGCTGCTCACACACGCCCTGCCTTCACCCACCAGTCTGTCATACCTGTGCTCACCGCCGACACATTACATCTCGTAAACAGTATACGTGTACTCAAGTGATTTCTTGGCAAAGAAATGTGATATATTGTTATTTTGAGTTAAGTGTAGTGATCAAATAAGGCAGCCCAGGCAGCGGTAAAAGATGTACTTTGGAAGTATGGTGAGTGGTGGCCAGGGTAGCATGGCGCTGAGGGTGTCGCTGCTGGTGGTGATGCTGGGGGCAGCAGCAGCTGCTGTCAGATGCCCTCCCAAGTGCTTGTGTTTCCGCACCACTGTCCGATGTATGTTCCTCGGCCTCAAGAGGATACCACACGTGCCACCCAAGACCACCATTCTGTAAGTACATCTTCACTTTGCCTTTATTTAGTGGCAGGTTCTCAGGCCACGGCACTTTGCATGTAGCTGGTGAAGCAGCCAGCAGTTCTCTCTGATCACAATAGCAGGGATGCTTACTTTACCATACTGAAGCTCTCGTCCATACCAAATTGCTTGTGCACTTAATGTAGTGCCAACATCACACAGGGCGACTTATAAACTATCTCCAGTAAAGGCGCCGTACTGAGGTGTGACCTTCAGCACTACATATAGAAGAAACTAGTACACATGTGCACGGCTTAATGTGAACTTTAAAAGGTTGTAGATAGCAGTAGTAGTTGCGTCAGTTAGTGTTACCGTGAACTTGATCTTGAAGAGTTGCACTCTGGGTTATTGCCCTCCCATCCCACCAGTAGTGACTGTCTTCGTTTAAGGGAGACGTGGGCAAACTTTGAACTTTCTTATATTCAAAGAACACCCATAACTGCTCAAGGAAGTCATGGAGCAAACCTTGCATTTCTTTTACTCAAAAGAACACCCATATCTGCTCAAAATTATTATATTAAAATCAAAGTCATAGATGTTCAAGAGTAAACGTGGGCAAACTTTGCATTTTCTTAACCACCAGGGAATGCACTCTTACAGCAGATTTCATTACGGATGTCCGAATATGACAATGAAATACAGCTAGCTTTTATTCCTTCTATGTAACTATCATATAGAGGAAGATAGTAGTGGTCCTGATGTACCTAATTTCATTACTACCACGAAAGTTTCGTACTCAGGCAAGCTTATCAAGCTAGGTAATTAATGTAGCATGCTGGGGATGCCAGAGTAGTCAAAATATCACTACTTAATAGACCAGGAATATGTCGTGCTCTGAGTAAGTCAGTATTGAATCCACTTGTTGCAGACATCTAGCCTTCGCTGCAAATTATCTGAATGTGTTTTATATTACCTTATAGTGTTGTATATTATCTTGTAGTTTTGTATAGTGCTTTGTAGTATCATATAGTACCTTGTATGTGTTGCACAGGACCCCGGAATGTGTTGTGTCATGTAGACACTGATGTTTATTTAGGTTACATTCGTTTTACATTTTTTAAATACATGTTTACAAAAAAAATCCCATTCCTGTATTGGGATTTAACCACTGATTACATTACCTTATATGTACATAGGTCTACAGCGGTGACAAACAGTGACGCTTTAACTTAAGATAACAACGCTGAATAGAATGATTTATTTCCACTGTAGAATGTGTTATGTCACGCTGGGTCATTCAGAGCTCATAGCTGGGGTCTCAAGGTGTAGAGGAGTGGGAGGTGTAAGGGTGTGTAGAATATATAAGGGGGAGGTGTAAGGGTGTGTGAAATCTGTGAGGGAGGTGTAAGAGTATGGTGGCAAATCTGTAAATGAGTAGGGAAGAGAATAGACGGGGTTGTGTGAGGAGTCTGTAAATGTGTAAGGAAGGGAAGGTGTGTGTGAGGGATGTCTGTAAGGGGAGGTGTAAGGGTGTGTGAGGGGAGTCTCTAAGGGAAGAGGGTATGTTGTGTGTGTGTGTGTGTGTGTGTGTGTGTTGTGTGAAGGAAGTTTGTAACTTTATGGGACATCAGTAAGTGTGTTTAGGGGCATGTTTAATTGTGTGAGAGAGTCTGTGAGATTGTCACATGTGTAAATATTTAGAATTGTGATATATGTTATGTGTAAATGTTTATATGTGTTTGACATTTATAAATATGCGTGTGATATCTGTAAATGTGTATAGTGAGCTTGTGTACAGGAAGGCTCTTAAGTTTTGGGGGTATCTGTTAATCTCTTTGGGCACTGTAAATGTGCGGGACTGGGGTTTCTAACACATTTGCATAGCGTGATGAAGATTGTGTCTAGCGAATTTGCCTGCTTAGATAGTGGCATGATTGTGCGGTGGTAAAGCAGCTGAAGCTATTGTCTAGAGAAGATAACTCATCAGATTCCCCCTAAAAGGAATGAAGATCACAAGTGCCAGGCAAGAGAGGGTGGTAATTATACTGAATGGCTGAAGAATGGAGAGATACGAGAGAGCATAACATTCTATTCAAGGATTACCAACAAACGAAGAACATCCGGGAGAACAGACTGTGTTCGAGGCCATATATGATGAGGAGGTATATAATTTGCAAGTTTCTGAGAGCAAGAACCATGGAGGTAGTGACAGACGAGAGTGATGGACGCACTTATGTGGCAAAAGGCAAATGATTCAAGATTATATGTCAGTATATGCTGAAGTCAGATGAACAAATGAGATGAACTGGTTTCCTGTGAATTTGGTAAAAAAAAGGACACCTTTATTTACACTCGGAGACTTGGTAAAACTATATAGAACGAAACATCTGTAAATAAGGGTTTTGTGGAAAATAATTTCCCAAAAATTATGCTGTATTTTATAATGTAAATAAACCTGATTAATACATTACTATTGCTCTAAAGTGTATAAAAAAAATGAACCGACAGGGAAGCTCTGCGCTTGCGCTGAGGAGCAGGGAGGAGACGCCATTGTTTTTGAATGTGATACAGGCAAGCTAATGTAATGTGCATGATTTTCGTCGCTCTAGGGGTTATATTGGGCTTAAAACCTCTCAAATAGGAGCCGAAATTGTTGGATTTGCAGTCCTGCGTAACGTGAGAAATGAGGCGACTGGACAGGACTCCGTAATTAGATGGAAATAGGATATTACCCCAGCTAAGTGTTGTCTAATTTGTGTTAGAATTCTGGCCATATAATTTCTTCATAAATTTAGACGGGGGGGGGGGGTCTGTACATGACACACAGTAATCTCCAGACTAATTGGTGAGTGGTATTATAAATTCTCCTTCTGTTACATAAATGTGTATATGTAATCATTTATTAATTTTAACATACAGTCTACAAATTTATGTTTACCATAATTCTTGGTAATGTATATTTCATTTGCAGTTAATATAAGTCAAGAGTGACTTGTGGATATGACAGTCGTAGGTATCGAAAGGGGACATTTTTTGCGACCTAGGTGTCTCAAAAATTCCTACTTGTCTCTGTAACTTTGATAAATAATAATCTTTGTTACCATTTACTGGTATGTATCTAATGAGATACATCCAGGTAAATTTAATTTTCCACAGGTTTACTGTGCACATATAGAAGTGTCTGTTTACCATATTTGTCGGCAAGTCTTACCAATCAATACACATCCCTGAATTGTAAAACGAATCCAGTGGAAAGCTTCCCCAGAGAATGGCAGAGGAGAGCTTCCCCGGAGATTTTACACAGCGTTCGTAGTTGGGAGTCGATGGCTCACACTTCTTTTAAGGCAGTTGCAATTAGGGGTTAAGAGGCCAGCTTTTGTATGCTTTCCAGCAACGATACAGAGAAAGGTCTTATTCCACTAATCACCTGCTTTGGAACACAGCGGAAACAATATATATTCAAGCTACAATTCCAATATTATGTCTGGGTAAATTGTTCAGGACACTAGGATACATTATGTTACGTATGTAAACTACAATTTTATCATTAATAATCTCAGTTATCCAGGACACAAGAATACACTATATGACAAGAAGCAATATTCACCACTAGGAAAAATATAAATAACAGAGAATAAGATGGCTCCAGTGAGCGGAGCCTAGTTGTTGCAGGCGGTGGGCATGTTCGCAGATAAGAGGAGTAGAGCCATAGATCACATTTAATAGAGGTTGCATAGGAGTTGGAGGGTAGTTGTATGGGAACAAGGGAAGGGGTTGTATGGTAGCAAAGGGAGGGTGTGGTATGGTAGGGAGGGAAGGGGGTGTTATGGCACAAAGGGGAAGAGGTAGTATGGTAGCAATGGAGGAGTGCAGTTCTAGATATTTTAGGCGCTCCCAGCAATTTAGGTGCTTGACTGAGTTTATACAACCTGTGAAGGTTCTCTGTACATTTTCCAGCTCAGTAATTTCGCCTGCCTTGAAGAGGGCCATTAGTACACAACAAGTCCACCCTAGATATAACGAGTGACCTGAAATGTACCAGTTTGGAGGGGAAACTTCGACGACGTTTCAGTCCGTCTTTGCATGAACCTAAGCGTAGTTTAGAGATACATTTCCAATTTGTGGATATGCATAGTTCTAGCCACAGCATTGTAATTAGTTAACAAACAAAATACAACGCATCACCTCACATGTCAGGTTAGTCCATTCATTCAGCCTCCTTTCCCTGACGCGACTATCTTGACATGTTAATAAGAGCAAGTAAAAGATGTGAACATTAACCAGGCGAGAGTGCGAGTAAGTTTTAATCACTAGCACGAGTGAAGAGGGTTCGTGTACCTGCTGCTTGATGGTCGTGACGACCAAGTGGCTGCGACCCCTAGCAGATAATGTTTGGGTGAGTGTTAGCTGTATTTACTAGGTTCTACCGATCTGCACAAGTCAGTCCCACGCCCCCACTATCACTGTTGTCTATACGTATTGACCGCTTGTTTTTAATAATGATTATAGTCATTATTATTATTATTATTATTCAGCAACTGATGAGTCCAGGCTTCCTGAAGGGGTCCCCAGACTCAGTATCTCTGGCCCCTCACTAGAGACCTCACTATGAGTCGCAGCTCTGACCGATTCTGTTATCTCAAATATCAAGCCCATTCTGTATTAGAATATGAAAGGAAAACAAAACTATCATTTCTCCCTCAATATAACTCTCATACAGTTTATTGGTGTCCCAAACTACGAGTATTCCTATCATATACAATATTGTAGACGCATAGTACTTCAATATCCAAGTTTATTCAAATTTAAATTCAGAATTCAAATATTTATTTCTTTGCATATTATACAGTGTGTAGTTTACATGTAATAAAATATTGTTTAGCACAAAGAAAGCCACTAGCATGCATGTGCATTTCGGGCATGTGCATTTCGGAGCGCCATCTTGCGCAGAGGTCTCTAATACTTACCTAATTTGTTATAAACGTATACTGATTTGTGTAAGTGGATAAATCTTGCATATGTAATGATTCATGGAG